TGTTGAACACAAGTAATAAGCTCCTTACATACATATCCCTTAATGAACTTGAAATAACCATTATTAACCACCCCCCCCTCCCCCCAAAACAACCCCAACAACCCCCCCCCCCCCCCCCCTAAAACAAACCTTCACAAGATAAGATAAGAATGCATTAAAGGGGAATTGGAAAGAAAAAGCAAAGGAAGAAAGGATAGAAAATAAATCATGGTTTGTTTTATTTCAGATGAGTAAGACTTGGAGGTGCTGTATTGGCATCATATTAAATTCTAATACTTCCAGTACTAGAAATTTAATAAATTCTTTTCCTTACATAGACATAGAAACTCGATGCTTAAAAAAGGCTGTATTAGAGAGGCATTGGATTTAGCAAACAGGAGTGGAATTATTCCATTTTCCAGTAAAGAAAGGTAGGTTATTTCTTATTCTTGTAAGGTGTTGATCTTTTAAGAGTTTTATTAGCCCTTCGTTTTCCACATAATGTCGCCAATACATGGAAGTAGAGATTGTAAAGAAGACCTCCAGAGTCCACCAGAAAGACTTGTGAACAAGTCGAATTCCACTTCTCAACCAAGCCCACAGCCATAAAATTGAATACCTTTGCTGTTTGCCATATTAACATTATCTATTTCTTTCACTGCTTCTTAATACAGCTGACATATGGAAGGCCAATGCGGGAATATTATTAAGTTTCTTGGAAAGTTCCTTCCAGACTGAAAATAATGAGAGTTTTATTTTTGAAATGGAATTTCTAAAAAAAGTTTTGGAGTCACATCTATCTAGTCTTAATCTAATCACTATCCTATTTTGATCTCTATATTCACATATCGTATCTTTCCTAATCATAGCATTCTTTCTTTTAATTAATTTGAAATAATTTAAGCCTTCACTAAGTATTAAAAGATTAAAATTTAATTTAAATTTTAAATTATTTTAATGCGGGAAAAATAGAATAATTGGTCTAGTGCCTTCGTATTATAATATAAATATTTAGCCATAAAATTGAATTACCTTCGTGCTTGTTTGCCATATAACATTATCTATATTCTTTCACTGTTCTTAATACGGGCTGAGCAGATTATGGGATTAAGGCACATGTGCTAATATTATTATTAAGTTTTCTGGAAAGTTCATCTTTCCGCAGACTTGAAAAATAATGAGAGTTTTATTTTTGTAAATGACTTACTATAATAAATAGAGTTTGTAGGTTCACTATCTATCTAGTCTAATCTAATCCTATCCTATTCTGATCTCATATATCACAGTGATTCGTATCTTTCCTATATCATAGCAGATGGCTTTCTTTAAATTAATTGTGCAAGACTTTAATTTGAAATAATTAGCTCTTCACTAGGTATATAAGACAGATTTGAATACACTTAATTTTAAATCTCTCCATATTTAATGGAAAAATAGAATAATGTCTAGTCCTTTATAATAAAATATTTCAAAAGTGAAGCTCTTTATTGTATTGTAAGTTCTTTTTAAGCATTCATAAGAAGAAGAAGAATTAATATTATTACTTTAAATTAACCAGTGTGTATCATAGCTCACTACATGATAACTAGAATTTATTTTAAAACTGCTTAAATAGTTTTAAAATCTGCAATTTCCTTACACAGGATATATATATATATATATACGTCAGGCATATTTCCTGCTCAACGCTTTCCATGATGGTTAAATATTTACGTTGCTGTAATGTAACCAAGCACAATGCAAATCTTGCATTTTTACATTATGCCCGCAGTTAGCTTTTTCTGCTCTTATTTCATATGTAGTAAAAATCTTATTAGGCGTTCTTATGGATGCTTAAACTTTATCTTTTACTTGGCTTTCATATGTGATTCCACTCTTTTAGGCTAAGAGCTTATGAAGTAATCCGAGGTGTTAAATTGCCACATTTCTACTATTTATATAATAATATATAGATATAGCTATTTTGCTACTGCGCATAGACTGGTAATCTATGGTGTGTGTAGTTCAAATATAGAATGTATATGCAGAATATAGATCGTCCTCTCATTCTGGTTGTTTTTACAATTGTTGCGAAGGATGCTTATATAAGTGACTGGTTACATTTGACTTGCCATTTTGTAATGCTCATCATTGTGCTTATTATTCTATCTTATCATTTTCGTCTTTATAATCTGTTGTTTGTGTGTAAGCTCACTGCTTGTGTTTATTTACTATGATTTGATTGAATATACTACATAAATAGAGGTGTCTATGTCTGCCAATTGCCATTTCTTCCTCATATTATTTTGAAGCTTTGTCTTTCGATATTTGAAGTGAGTGTGTGCATGATGGTTTTTTCTCCTGATCAAGGGGTTAACTAATATTTTTCTCCCCCAATTTTTGGAGGTTGCCTTATAACACATTCTATTTGTTCCCGACGAACTGATTGGCATTATACTTATTTCTATTTATTTCCAACCCTCTACTGTGGATATTTACAGGTGAGATTCATTCTGGGCGGCCCACCATCTAATATTCGTATTCATCTTGCATTCATAGGACATCCACTTGTTAGGCAAGGTGTTAAAAGTATTCTATTTTTTTCTATATCTGTTTATGTGATATGAACCAGTTTTTTTAGATGCAAATTAATTCCCCAATTTAAGTGAATTAATTAGGAAAGTCATTAAAGGATGAAATTCAAACTAGCAAAGGGAAACCAAATGGGGGCCGGCGGTATGGATCCAGGGTGGCCGGCGGAGGAAGGGCCGGTGGTGGCCGACGGGTGGCCGGATGGAGGATTGGCTGGCAGGAGGGCTCCTGCAGGCCGGCGGGATGGGGTGTTGGGTTGGTCTGCGGGAGGCTGGCCGGCGGTTGGCTAGGGGAAAGGGGCGGCGGCAAGGATCCAAGGAGAGGAAGAAGTATGGAAAATATAAGGATTCAAGGAGTGAATTCCAATTTTCCACAAATGCTTCAATCCGATTCTCCAAGACGATGAATTGACCAAGAGAAATAAAGGAAAATAGTAGAACGAGAAAAAAAACCTAGAACTCACAAAGATTTCTAGCTTCTCCTACGAACTCACTAAGAGATCGTGGAGGTTTGCACTCACAAAGAGAACACAAAGCAAATATTTTTCATTCATCAAAACTAACTATTACATGAGAAAATGGTCTTATAAATAGGCCTCAAAATGACAAAGAAGCAAAAGACTAAAATGCCCCTTTAGCTACAATAGCTACCAAATACCCATGAGGGCAAAAACGGAAAAACATAAAATAAAAATAAACTACTACATAAAATGATGAAAATATAGATCATGATCGTGGTCGTCGATCTCCGGCATCTCCTGAAGGTACATGTGTCGAAATTGCTGCTGATGTCCCCATCAACATGCATTTACCTTATTTAATTCTTTTATAGGATATCCTATCCTTGTCACTTTTGTGTGTGTGTTTGTGTGTGGTTGCTGCATAGTTATGGAATTCTGCTGAATACCCTTCTCATACATTTATTTTGTATACTGGCATAATGCCCTATTGCCCAGTAAATAAGATGGGTACAGATTAAAACTCGAAAGCAACCTGAAAGAAATAAGGTTAAGAATAATGGAGACATCTATTCGTTAAATAAGCTTCATTAGCTTGCTAAAAGGTTTACATCCACGAGTTATCAGTTGTTAAATTATTAGAATTAATTAGTTTAAATATAAAAATTTGGGTTGGTTTATCTTAGTTAGAAATTTCGTACCAATTTAATGCCATTTTAATTTTAATGACCATGCGGTAAGAAGTGATTTGTCAATTTATCTCAAAATCCAGTACTGTTTCTTGCAATAACATAAATGAAAGTAAGATCATTTTGGTTTGCATACTTGTTTAAAGTTGAAAATTAAAATGAGATTGTGAGATGAGCTTATTTTACGTGTGCTCTAGTTTGTAAGTACTAGTTGGAAAATGTCAAGTTAAATATGAGTTAGTTTGGATCAATTTAATTTTAAATATTTTGATTCCTATTCAACTTATACTTGATTCAAAATTGAAATTCAATTGAGAGGACTCAAAATAAAATTGACTCGAAGCTTTTTATTTGGTTATGTATAAAAATCTAGAGTATACATATATAATTATTCTTTAAATATATATTCTATAAAATTCATTGTGTATCATATCATTTATATACATAATTGAATTACCTTTTGGTTAAAATTATTTGAGCAATCTAGATTAAACTTGAAATTGATTAGACATCAATTTTGATTCATTATTGAAAGTTGAAATAGATGTGAAATTAGTTTATGCCAATTTAAATCGAGCTGAATTTTTGAGTTATTTCAAATTTTGATTATTTTTAATGACTATTGTTGATGAAAATAAAAGAGAAAATAGATGTTATGAAATTTTTTCAATTCAATATGGGATGAATGGAAATTTAAAATTTAACAGGTTCATGATCGTTATGCATTTGAGATGTTTGGAGAAGTGAAATGCTTTAAAATCTGATCACGTTGACCTTATGAATCATTCTCTATTTGCTTCTATTGTGTGCTTTATGTTCTATTAACTTTTGGCAAAGTCACCCGTGTTTCTCTCCCATTCCACTTTTTGTCTTCACCTTGATTTTATGTATAGTGCATCATTAGTTTTTATTTATACATGACCAAGAAAGCTAGGTAAAACCCATATTCGAAAAATGATAGGCTTGCAAATTTCTAAAACTATCATTTTGTATGGATGCTTCGGAGTTTTATCACATTGTTTTTATTATTATTAAATATATTGAATATCTTGCAGTTCTGTTTAACTTATAATATGTTACATGTGAATGTCCATTTTTTCATTGCAAATACTAAAGATGACCATGCTGTCAAGCGTGTGTTAGCATTATCTATGTTGCATGTCTTTTAAGGACATATAATGTAAACTCAAATAGATGATTAAGGTTGCACCCATAGCTCATTTTAGGTTTTCCAAGTCTTCCTTATATTTGTTTTTCAGTTAAAAAAAAAAAAAAGTGATTTTCATCTGTAGTTGTTGATCTGAACTTGTTTAATCAGAATGCCTGGACAAGGATTTGGCAAAGCTCGAAGAATTTCAAAGTTTTATCGAGCATTAGTTAGAGGGATTCTCGAATATGATGAGGTAAAGTGTTGGTGGAACAAAATTTCATCTTAGGATCCCATCCCTTGTCATATGCTTGTTTTGATGATAATCCTACTGAATCTGTTGGTCATGATTTTTAACATTCTAACCTTCTTGTGTTTATGCTTCTGTTGTTTATATATATACTGGCGTAGGTGTTCCTTAGTTGCACTTCAATGTAAAAATTATTGTGAAATTTGCGCTTTAATTAGGGGTGTAAACGAGTCGAGCTGAGTCGATTAGTGACACTATCGAGTTGAGCTCGTTTAATTAGCTCATACTCGACTCGCTATATAAATACCAAGCTCGAGCTTGGCTCGATTACTCTATTCAAGCTTGTTTTCATCTAATGTTACCGTGAAAATGCAAAATCCAGCAGATAAAAAAGAAGAAGAAGACGTCGACATCGGGAAGGGTATGAAGATGAAGACTTGCCGTCAATGTTTTTGTGGAAGAAGCCTGCATTGTTTCTCAAAACTGGAATTAATTAATGGCCGCAGCCCTTTTTTTTCTTTACCAATTAATGTCGTAGTTCTAAAAAAAGAAGAAGTTAATGCTGCAACTTTTTACTCTTTGAAAACATAACTTATGTTTATTTTCTAACAGCCTAATTCTTTGCTAGTACCTAATGTTCCATGTATTCACAAATTGATATCGTGGTTTCTTAAGTTTCATTTTGTTTTTGTTTTCAGATTGCTTTTGATATTGTTAAAACACTTAACTGATCCTTTGTTAGTAGCATCCTTGTCTTGTCCTAATAACGTACAATACTTTATCAGTGTGTTTTATCTTGGGGCTTTTTATTTAGTTAAGAAAGAAAATTATAATCAATCTTCCAGTACATGCATCTTGCCCTATGCATCACCTAAGGTTAGTTAATGCACCTTGTAAACTTGTAAAGAGATCGTGGATTCAGATATCTCTAGACAAGCCCTGTTTACTAACCAGTTGGCACAATCATTCCTTCTCATAAGAATGTGGGTGATCCTTATCTCTGTTTAGATGAATGAAGCCTCTAATTATGGCTTTATTTGAGGAAGCTTAAAATTTTTTATTTTTGCTTTTGAATACTCCTCTAAACGTAATGGGGATCAAACACAAAAAAAAAAAAAAAAAAAAAAAAAAAAAAAAAAGATTATTGGGATTCTTCCTTAGCTAAGTCTTTAGAAAGAGGGAGAGAGAATATGAGATAGAAAGGAGGTAATCAAGAGAGGAGGATCTGGTAAGAGACTTTACTTCAAAAGTGAGAGAGTCCAAAATTGAGAGGAGAGAGAAAGAGGGGGAGACTAGTTTACTTACAACTGTTTATAATATTCATGAATGTCTTTATTATATACAAGCTTCCTCTATTTATAAGATAATGATTTCATTGTCTTACATAGTAATAAATAAGAAAGCAATCATGAAAAATCATAAGTAAATTTTCCTAAATACAAATATTTTATTAAGATTCTCTACATAAGATTCTTTAATATGTCTTCATGAAAGAACCTTTTTAATTAAAGCAACTTTGTGACTCATTTATTGCATAATCAATTCAAATAAGGCAATGATGAGAAGTTTATTTGGATGAAAAATTAGATAGTTATTTATTGCTTCAACTCCCCTTAAGTTTGAAGTACTCTTCTTCAATGTGTTAGAATAGGATGTTCTGGCGTCCAGGGAGGTGGTGTTGTGGAACATGCTTGTGAACCTTTCCAATACACCAAGAACAGCTCTGGTTTGGCCACAATTTGGTAGGACTTACCAGTTTTTTTCTAGCTGCATTGGCTATGGGTTGTTCTTATTAAGACCTACTTGAATGCTACACCGGAATAAAGACTTCCCTAAACCAAGTCAAGGGGACCAACCACATGATTGTCACGTCATCATAAACAAAAAATAATTCATAAGAGGGCTAGACTAAGCAGGGATTCCTAAGGGCCATATCCGTGCAAGTTAATAAGATATATATATTTTAATTACTAGAAAGAAATTCTATGAGGTCGTTGGTTTCTGATAGGAAATACTTGTATTCACATGCAAACCTAACCAAAATAAAGTACCACAACAAGAAAACTGCTGTCCACAGCAGTAAAACAGCCAAAACAGTGGAGAATTTGGAGGAAAACTGTAGGAAAAACTCAAAACACACTTGGATTCCACTAGACGATGAATAAAATAGCAAGATACAAGAGATCCTCAATTAGAGAGGAGGATCATCTCTCCCAATTCTCTAGACAAGATTGTCTAGAGCCCAAGCCTCCAAGAAACCCTAATTCCAATCAATCCAAAACATGAGAACTCCCTAATTCCCTCACCCCCATTAATACAAGATCTTTCCTATTTTAATTTCCCTCCCAAATCCTAATCTCCCCACTCCGTTTGAATTTTCAATCCATTGGAATAGTGGGGCCCGCCCCATTAGGCAAGCCAAGCAAAGGAGGCGGAAGTCTCCGCCTCCTATAAACCCACGGCTGCTGGTTCTGCCGCTGGTTCTGGACCGGTTCTGTCTAACAGTTTCATCCTTGCTAAACCTGAAATAAGTCCCGCATAAAGCCTTAAGATCATAATAAATCCACTATCAATGATCACCCAATTTAGCTTACAAGCAATGTCACATATTCAAATTCTTTGATGACTTCATGCTTCCTTTGGTTCCATCCATTTTTCCTTGCTTTGTTGTTCTAAAAGTAATTTTGATATAGATGGAAAATGTGTAGAAAATTTTGCATCTGCATCTTCTCTATGAATTCCTCAGCATATGGATGGATTCATGGAATAGCTCATATTTATGTGAGTAAGATTTGTGTATTTTGTAGAGCACACATTATTACTATTGTACCAAACAAACACTAGGTGAAGGGAAAAAACCTTAAAATTTTCTTTTAAGCACATCAAAATTTTGGTTCGAATCTGGTTTGGACTTTCTTTTCGCAGAAAATATCAAAATCAACATTGTACTATTTAATGCAATAGCGTCTGTTTTAATTCATTATCTTACGTGACTCAAATAATGCAGATTTTGATTGAGCAACCCATCGGTATGGTGCAATATCCAGGAGTGGCCAAAGGGCTATACGTTGCTTCCTCATCTGGTTATTTATTTCCCTTTCTCTTCACCTTCTCTTTTACTCCCACGTTGTTTATCTCTCATTTCTGAAGAAGTCCAGATGCAAATTATAACGTGGCCAGGAGGCTCTAGGAGTCTTCACAGAAAGTTCACTACTCGTAGTATCTCTATAAAAAAAAAATAAAAAAAATAAAAAGCATCATTTATTTTTTGTTTCTTCCATCCTTTGTTTTTTACTTGCTTTTTGAACACTTGTAGAAATCCTATATTTATTTCTTCCATGCTTTATGTAATTTTTACTAGGGAAACCGGCTATGAGCAAAGTCCAAGTCCTTGAGAGAGATACACAGCAAAATAGAACAGTGGTGCAGGTACGCATCCTAATAGTTTTTTTTTTTGGTATCATTGATCTTCATTTCTCATAGTCACACTCTGATTCTTCTTAAACAATGTATCTAGTGCAGTTAAGAACTTAAGATATATTTATAATTTTAATGTAAAATGTCAAAACGTGTTTACTTGATTATGAATTTCATTTCTTAATTTTTATACGAATGCCTTTTCCTTGTGACATATTACCTTTTTAAATAATATGATTTTCGAAAATGCTGATGTGAAAGACCAATGTTGTTTAAGACCATAAAATCTGAAAACATTCCTCTATGAATATATCATATGATGAAAGCCATCAATTTTGAAATAATAATTTTCAAAAAGAGCTATCTCAGATTGATGATAGGAGTTATACCAGAAAACAAAATAATCAGGTAATTATCAAAGGGCGTTTTATTCATGCTAGTTTGACCATTTTTAGGAAAAAGTGTCACAGGAAGGAGGAGACGAAACCTGTCCAGTCTGGTGAAGATATCATTCTCTCAATTGTTAGATCAAGTAAAATGCAAAGAAATGTCAGTCAATTAAAGAAGTTGATAATTTAATAGAGGTTAGATGGTGATTTAGTGCAATTCAGATCTTTCATCCTTAAAAAAAAAAAGGATGATTTATCAGTATCAAATAGTTCAATTCATAAAAATGATTTATCTTGATCGTAAGGGCCAGAAATAATAGTCAAAGCAAGGTCTTCATAAGGATGGCCTAGAAATAAATGTATGCTGATCAAGAATCTACCAATCAAGGAGGAAAAACAGTAACAAAATTCAGAGTCTAACCAGAAATCATACCTCCCAAACCCGACTGCATTAAGATTAATCTATTCCTTGATTTAGAAACTCCAATTGATTTAATGCTCGGAGAAGCATAAACCAATATGGAAACTTTAAGATAGATATTATCTAACTTTCTACATCAATCCCTTTTTAACTTTATTTCTTATAACTAATGTACCTAAATCTACATACATTTCATGTTCGAATATTCATGCAACAACAACAAGTCTTTATCCCACTATGTGGGGTCGGTTACATAAATCCTTTTTGTCCATTGTGTCTTGTTAAGAGTCAAATTCTCATCTAAATTTAATAAAGAAAGGTCATTTCTAATATTTTCTAACCAAGTCTTTTTCGATCTACCTCTACCATTCTTAACATAAGTCAAATCTAATACAACTACTTTCTTAACCGGGTCATAGGAAGGCCGCCATTTTATGTGACTAAACCATCTAAGGTTACTCTCTCTAATCTTATCTTCCACTGGAGCTACTCCAACCTTTTCAAGTATATGCTCGTTTCGTATTATGTCTTTAACAGTAAAGCCACTCATCCACCTGAGCATCCTCATCTCTGCAACACTTACTATTATGCTTCTCTTTTAATAATCAACATTCTGCACCATAAAGCATTGCAGGTCTCACTATCATCTTATAGAATTTTCCCGTATTTTTGAGAGGGACTTTTCTATCACACAACAAGCTCGATGCATTCCTCCACTTCAACCATCCAACTTGATTTTCATACTAATAATATACCCCATCTTTATCCTTCACCAATCACCTGAATAATAGACCCAATACTATTAAAATCGTGAGCTCTTATTATGACTTGATGCCAAAGTCACAATTCCCCCACTAGATCTATTATATAAAATTAACATCCATATATTTAGTTTTGGATCTACTCAAACGAAAGCCTTAGACTCTAAGGTTGACCTCCATAATTCAAGTTTACCTTCACTCCTCTTTAGTCTTATTAGCAAGAAGAATATCATCAGCAAAAAGCATACACCAGGCACAACCTCTTGCAAATGTCAAGTATAACATGCTTGACTTATATAAAAGATATGTCTTAAGGCTGATCCTTGATGTATCCAACTGATATAAGAAAATACTGATCAAACCACCTTGTGTTTGAACACAAGTAATAGCTCTACATACAATCCTTGACTTAAATATATTACCATTATATAAACACCCCCCCCCCCCTAAACAACCCTCACAAGAATAGAATAAGAATCATTAAGGGGAATGAAAGAAAACAAAGGAGAAAAGGATAGAAAATATATCATGGTTTGTTTTTATTAACAGTGAGTAAACTTGGAGTGCTGTATTGCATACATATTAAATTTATACCTCTCCATGTAAACTTAAGAATAAAAATTCTTTTCCCTTACATAGACATAGAAACTCGAATGCTTAAAAAAAGGCTGATAGAAGATCGGATTTTAGCAAACGCGAGTGGATTATTTCCATTTTCCATAAAAGAAATGTAGTTATTCTTATTCTTGTAGGTAGTGATCTTAAGAGTTATTAGCTCGTTTTTCCAAATGTCGCAAATACATGGAATAGAGATTGTAAAGAAGACCTCAGTACCACCCGAAGATATGAACAGTAGAATTCCATCTCAACCAAGCCCACAGCCACTAAAATATGAATACTTTGCTGTTTGCCAATTAACATCTATTTCTTTCACTGTTCTTAATACAGCTACTATGGAAGGCAATGCGGGGGAATATTATTAAAGTTTTTCTGGAAAGTTCCTTCCCAGACTTGAAAAATAATGACGAGTTTTATTTTGAAATGCATTTCTAAAAAAAGTTTTGAGCACATCTATCTAGTCTAATCTATCATATCCATATTTGATCTCTTTTATTCACATATCGTATCTTTCCTAATCATAGCCATTATTTCTTAATTAATTTGAAATAATACTTTTCCACTAATATTAAAAGATTAAAATTAATTTTAAATTTAAATATTTCTAATGGGATAGATAATGTCTAGTGCTAATAATATAATATTAGCATAAAATTGAATTACCTTTGCTGTTTGCCATATTAACATTATCTATTTCTTTCACTGTTCTTAATACAGCTGACATATGGAAGGCAATGCGGGAATATTATTAAGTTTCTGGAAAGTTCCTTCCCAGACTTGAAAATAATGAGAGTTTTATTTTGAAATGAATTCTAAAAAAAGTTTTGAGTCACATCTATCTAGTCTAATCTAATCACTATCCTATTGATCTCTATTCACATATCGTATCTTTCCTAATCAAGCATTCTTTCTTTAATTAATTTGAAAATAATTAGCTTCACTAAGTATTAAAAGATTAAAATTAATTTTAAATTTTAAAATATTTAATGGGAAAATAGAATAATCTAGTGCCTTTTATAATATAATATTAGCCATAAAATTGAATACCTTTGCTGTTTCCATTAACATTATCTATTCTTTCACTGTTCTTAATACAGCTGAGCATAATGGAAGCAATGCGACATTATTAAGTTTTTGGAAAGTTCCTTCCCAGACTTGAAAATAATGAGAGTTTTATTTTGAAATAAACTAAAAAAGTTTTGAGTTACATGTATCTAGTCTAATCTAATCACTCTCCTATTGATCTCTATATCACATACGTATCTTTCCTAATCATAGCATTATTTCTTTAAATTAATGTGAAGACTTTAATTTGAAAAAATTAGCTCTTCACTAGGTATTAAAGATTAAATTAATTTTAAATCTTAATATTTAATGGAAAATAGATATAGTCTAGTGCCTTTATATATATATTTCAAAGTGAAGCTCTTTATTGTATTGTAAGTTCTTTTAAGCATTCATAAAAGAGAAGAATTAATATATTATCTTTAAATTAACCCAGGCACATAGCTCCTATATCTAGAATATTAAAACTGTTAAATATTTTTAAAATTATTATATATATATATTGCACACATATCTTCCTTCCACGCATTTCATGAGGTTATTTTCTTGTGTAATGTAACCCAAGCACAAGCAATCTTGTCATTTTTAATATGCCCGCAGTAGCTTTTTCTGGCTTCTTATCATATGTAGTTAAAAATCTTATTAGGGTTCTTATGGATGCTTAATACTTGATCTTTTTTCTTTCATATGTGATTCACTCTTTTAGGCTTAAAGCTATGAGTAATCCGAGGTGAAATGCCACATTTTCCTTATTTTTAAATTTGAAATGCTTTTTCTTCTCCAAGACTGATCTGATAGGTTGTTGTTCAAATATAGAATGTATATGCAGAATATAGTCGACCATTCTTTTGTTTAACATGTGCGAAGGAGCTTATTGACTGTTACATTTGACTTGCCATTTTGTAATGCTCATCCATTGTGCTTATTTCTACTTATCATTTTGTTCTTTATAATCTGTGTTTTGTAAGTCATGTTGTGTTTTATTTACTATGATATGTGATGAACTACATAATAGTTCATGTCTGCCATTTTCATTTCTTCCTCATATTTTTGAGCTTTTCTTTTCTATTTAAGTGGTGCATGATTTTCTTGATCAAAGGTTAACTAATATTTTTCTATTTTGATGCCATAACACATTCTATTTTCCCGACGAACTGATTGGCATTATAACTTATTCTATTATTTTCCAACCCTCTACTGTGGATATTTAACAGGTTGAGATTCATTCTGGGCGCCCACATCAAATTCGTATTCATCTTGCATTCATAGGACATCCACTTGTAGGCAAGTTAAAAGTATTCTATTTTTTCTTACTTTATGTGATTGAACCAGTTTTTTAATGAACACGTCATTATAAATTTATCCATAAAAGGTCCATTTTAGTTCTTTCAAATAAGGAATTCACATTGAACGTTTTTGCTACAAATATTGTCACTAAGAAGTATTGACTTTGAAATGAGCAAATCAATTTCCTGCAGATATTTCTTTTTATTTTTGGCAATTACAGTTGATATTTTTGTTTTGTTTAAGTAGTTTTGTAAGATTTGAATAATGTTTTTTTTTTTAGTTGTAAATTTTCTCTAGTTAAGCTTACCCAAGAAAGCTATCTATTTGGGAGTAAAATAACATTGAGGGTCAAAACTTAAAATCTAAAATTATATGTTATATGTTTGACTGGTACATACAATTAACATTGAAGGATTAGAAAGGAATGCATGAAATATAAGTAACATGAAACATTGATCAAGAATGAATGGACATTTTTTTAAAGCAAAACAAATTTTATTATCTGTCAATGAAATAATGCAACATGAATCAATTGCATACGGTTGCTAGATGAGATAACCAATAACAAAATACCCGTCAAGGCTATCAGGTATCAATTGAACCAACTTCAAGAAGAGAAGAAATCTCAAGGGTCTTATTAAAAATGTCTAACAAAGTCTGATATATTTTGCAGAGTAAATGGACAAAGTTTAATATGATAAATCAATAATGGTAACATACAATAATACTAAATATTTGCCCAATTCATTTAAAAATTCAGAGATATTTAAAAGCAAAATAGTAAATGCACAAGGTTAGAAGTATAAACAATATAAATCATTATAGAACAAAGTATATGCCCTTAGAAATATTATTGATTCTTTAATTTTATAGTTATAATAATTTCTTACATGTTCAAATAATTCAAAAAATTTCTATTTTTTTTTCTTCTCTGAAATTGTGAAATTTGAAGAATTTATCAATTGATTACATTGGAAATGGCTGATTTTATTAAACGGAGATAAGGAAGTGGTTGCAGCTTATTGGAAAATCAAAATGAAGAAGAAAAAATATCGATTTGGAAAAAAATAAAATGTAATCAAGTAAATAATGTACTTGAGGAGATTGCCTTTTGCTATCAACATATGTTGGTTTGAAGTCTCAGAATCCGTAATGACAGATTTTGATTTAAAGCAAAACACACAAAAGATTGACGCAGTGCATTTTGTTCTTCGCTGAATTGCGTTTTCTTTGATCTCCATGGAATGTATGCTAGCATTGTAATGTTAATATTTTTCATCTCTTCACTGACATTCTTCAATAATATTCTTATTTATTACCCAATTTATTCGACCATAAATGCTCAAAATTTGATTAAAAATGTCACTTTTCAATGTTGAACAATCATAGCTTTTCCTTTGGAACAGGAGATCCTCTTTATCAGGGTGGTGGGCAGCCAAACTTACTTGAAACTGAAACTATAGAGGACAGTTTTGCTGAAGACGGGTATGACCATCCATTATTTATTTTGATAATTATTTGGCTAGTTGTATATACAGCAGTTGGCTTAAATATTTGAGGAGATGATTATTCTTCAGTGATTTAGGCCATGTTTGGATTTAAATTTTCTTTTTATTTTCCATTTTTTTTCACCAAAAACAAAAATATGTTTGTATGCTTTACTTATTTTCTGTTTTTCAGGAGCACAGAATAATATATATGTTTGGGAATAAGAAATGATAATAAACAAATCTATATTTAATTATTTAAACCATAATTAACAACATTTAAGTACTAGATTTTTTTCCCATTCTGTTTTGTTTTATTAATTTTTTATAATCATGCCAATGAAAGAAGTTTAGCGAGAAATTGAAACCACCATAATTCACAGGTCAATTAAGATTCATGTCGCAAACGAGAAATCCTATTGTAATGAATTTGATTAAAATAATTAATGCTTAGAAAAATCAATATTGAATAATATAGAGGAAAAAAGAAAAGAGATCACTAAACTTAGAGGATTCAAGCCTAATGTTAATACATGGAGATTACTTACCTCAAAAATTATTGTTAGCTAGTGTTTTGAAAATTGGATTGAATTGGCTGGTTTGACCGTAAACTAGTCATGTTATCGGTCCGGTTTGGTTCGAGAACCAAGTTCATGTTGAACTTGTTTAAACAACCGGTTCGACTGAAAAATCGTCAAACTTGTCCTGATTTTGTAGAACCAACCGGTTCTACTACTATTACTATTACTACTACTACTACTACTACTACAACAACAACAACTTCAAACCTTTATCGCACTATGCGCGGTCGACTACTATAATACTTTTTCTCCATTGTATCATGTGAAAACTCAAATTCTTATTTAAATCTAATAAAAATGTCATTTCTAATATTTTCTAGCCAAGGCTTTTTAGCTCTACCTCTATCTTTCTTAACATATGACAAATTCATTATATCTACTCTGCTAGCCATGTCATCAAAAGGCCAACATTTTGTGTCCAAACCATCTAAGGCGACCCTCTACTATGGAAGCTATTCATTTATTGAGAGGGTTGATGGAGAAGTTTAGAGAGAATAAGGAGGA